CTGTCCAGGGTGTACCCCACCTCTCGCAAATTGACAGCCGATACCGCACCGTGACAATGTCACTAACCAGTAGGTGGCAGTAGTGTTCTTTGACAAACATGGATGCCTCCAGTAAAGCACATTCACATGAAAATTACTCTGAATTAAAAACACTAGTGTTGCACTGATGCCATTTTCTGGCCCCGATACCTGGCTGTGAAGTATCGGCCGGTACCATCTGTTTGAAACTGATGTGTGTATCTATGAAGAACTGCATCCTACTTGGATGTAAAATAATCACCATCATGGCTTCATGTCAAGCTGCTGCCTTCCTTTGTGAAGCAGGAAAAAGACTAAAACAAAGTAAATCCAGTAGAACTTTTTATTGCTTACCTGGAATGGGTGACAATAATTGAAGAAACTTTTGGCTCTCAGAATGGTATCGGTGCCCTATTGGTTGGTACTCAACGATACCGATACCACCATTTTAGTGCTGGATCGAGGCGCCTGATACTGGTATCGGTGCAACACTAAAAAACACTTATAATTAATTGAACAATGTGTAATTATTTCATATTTAATGTGCCTTCAGAAGTTTGAATTCTGAATATGAGCGGACTTTTCCTGAGAATTCATTAGTTTAAGGTTGCACTGATGGTCCAACTGTTTGTTTTACCTGCTTTTATTCTGCTATAATATTTTCTTCTATTTTATTGTTTCATTCATGTAAAGCCATTTTAATTGTCCTTCTACTGACCTGTGCAGCAGATAAACTTTCCTTGAGACATTAAACCTCAAATACCTTAATGTTGCAATGGAAAGCTTCTCTCCATGAGTCAGATGCTCAGCTCCTCTCTCATTCTGAGGGAAGCCATGAACTAACCTGATGGATAAAAACGGACTAAAGAAGCTTCTCAGTGTTTTTGCTTTTTATTCAGTGTTTTACAGTAAAGGGGGGAGTGTTTGGAGAGGGGGTTGGTGGCTGCGCGTCCCGGGGCAGCTCCTTATGACGTTGCGTCACCAGGAGTCCGGAGGTCTGTGAGGACGAAGCAGCAAAGCTCCCAGTTTGCCAGAGTGGAGCTGGAGAGAGGCCAAGTTGTTCTGACTGGTTCTTCCTTCCTCTGCTCAGCTCGTCCTGGAAAAACACAGACCGGAGGATTAAAGCCAAGTTCGGGATTTTAATCGGTTTTAAAGAAACCTAAAAGTGATCTAAAACTTTTCTCTGAGAAAGTTTATCTGTTTTTTTTTTTTTTTTTTTTTTTTTTTTTTTTTTTGATTGATTATGAATTAATGGGCTCCAGAGCTCCGGATGATCCACCGTTTCCCTACTAGAAGCAAACCAAAGTGTGGATTTACCGCCAGTTCGGGCTCCTCCAGCGGACATGGTCTGTGCGTCTGCCTTCCTGCTCTGAATCAGTTCTAAGGAGGAACGTTCACTTAGCGGATCCACGATGAAGGCGTTTATTTGTGTCTGCTTGGTTCTGATGACTCTGCTCACCTGGACCGAAGCCGACAGACAGGTTCTGCTGAAGCGGGTCCAGCTCCACCGGCGCGCACCAAAGAACGGACGGACCCAGCAGCGCGCATCCGCCAAGGAGGGCTTCAGCCTGCGCCTGCGCCCGGGCTTTGGTTCTCCGATCACTATGCGGGGTGCAGGAGAGGCGCAGTCTGACGACGGGGCCCAGGATCCCGTCAGGAGAGGGGGGGCCGGGCAGATTGGCCTGCCGCAGCGGGATGAGGGCGCCCCGGGAGCCAGAGCCCGGATCTCCAGGATGCCGAGCAGCGCCGGTTCACCCAACCTGCTGGCCAGCTTCGCAGGGAAGAACCGAGTCCTGGTGATCTCCGCGCCCCACGAGTCCGACGGCTACTACCGGCTGATGATGTCTCTCCTGAAACCGGACGTGTACTGCGAGCTGGCCGAGAGGCACGTCCAGCAGATAGTGATGTTCCACCAGGAGGGGGAGATGGGGGGCAAGGTGAGGAGGATCACTGCTGAGGGCAAGGTGCTGCAGGAGCCGCTGGACATGGCGCTCATCCCCAGACTCATGAGCTTCCTCAAACTGGAGAAGGGTAAGAGTCAGACAGGACTGCTCCTCAGGGAAACATATGCTGGTTTAACAGGTGAACAGGTATGCAGGTGAACACTCAGGTGAACAGCTGCTGGTAAAGCTTCACCTCCCAAACAGACCAAAGTGGTGAATTCTTTCAGCCCCCATTTATTGACTTTTCGGACCATATTGAGTCAGTTTGCTTTTTATTGTTGAGTTTTAGGACATTGGCAGTAAAGAGAAACAAACGATGCCAGTTTTTTTTTATTTTGTGTTTCTAAAAAGTGTTTGATATATATTTTACTCCACCCCCCTTCCTTGGACTTGCAGGTAAGTTCGGAATGGTTCTGCTGAAGAAAACCCTGCAGGTGGAGGAGAAGTACCCCTACCCAGTGAGACTGGAGGCCATGTATGAGGTCATTGACCAGTCGCCCATGAGGAAGATGGAGAAGCTGCGCCAGAAGGGTTTCGTGCAAAAGTGTAAAGGAGCAGGTGTGGAGGGTCAGGTGGAGGACATCACGCCTCACACAGGTAAGCAGTAGTCTAGCTGTAAAAAAAAGGTAACCACAGGTAACCTTTGAGCATGAGGAAGATCTGTCACTAACATGAACAAACTGAAATCGATCAGACAGATAAGATTTAAACCAGTCTAGAGCTGTTCCTTTAATTCCAACAAAATATTCAAGTCTTTCTAAAAGAATATTATGATCAACTGGATCAAATGCAGCACTGAGATCCAACAGGACGAGCACAGATACAAGTCCATTATCTGAGGCCATGAGAATATCATTAGTGACTTTCACCAGAGCTGTTTCAGTGCTATGATGAGCTCTAAAGCCAGACTGAAACTCTTCAAAAAGTTCATTATGGTGGAAGTGATCGCACACTTGTTTGGCAACTACTTTCTCAAGAACTTTAGATCAGAAAGGAAGATTGGATATAGGTCTATAATTAACCAAGTCATCTGGGTCAAGAGACGGTTTCTTAAGCAGAGGTTTAATTCCAGCAACCTTAAAAGCTTTAGGTACATATCCCTGTAACAGAGATAGATTAATCACATCTAAAATGGAGGAGGAGATCAAAGGGAATACCTCCTTAAATAACCTGGTTGGAACTGGATCTAACATCAAAGTTGAAGGCTTAGATGAAGACAATAATTTTGCTAACTCTGAAAGTTCAACTGGATCAAAGCAGTCTAAACCCGGTTCAGATTCCATGACTACCTCAGGTACAATCGCGGATAGAGGAGTGCTAATGATCTTATTTTTAATAAGATCAATCTTATTTATAAAGAATCCCATAAAATCATTGCTGCTAAGAGCAGGTGGAATGGACGGTTCAACAGAGCTATGGCTCTGGGTGAGTTTGGCAACTGTATTAAAAAGAAATCTAGGATTATTCTTATTCTCCTCTATTAATGAGGAGAAGTATGCTGCTCTTGCTTTACAAAGGGTCCTCTTATACAGCAGTAAACCATTTTTCCAGACTAGGTAGGACTCCCGCAGGCCTGTGGAGCGATATTTTCTCTCCAGTTTCCTAGCATTTTGCTTCAAAATTCGCAGCTCGGCATTAAACCACGGAGCCAGCTTTCTATTTTTAACGGTTTTCATTTTCAAAGGAGTTGCGTTGTCTAAGGCAGTACGCAGAGAACTACCAACCCCATCAACAAAATCATCAACCTGTGAAGGGGAATAAGCTAAGCTTTTGCACTCTGCAGCACTGCTCAGCGACACAGAGGAGAGAGAAAGTGAAGCAGATTCTTTAAAATGTATAACTGCACTATCTATTATCTATTAAAAGTAGTCAAAGAGGACAGGGTTGTGAGGAAATACTGTTATTTCTTCACATTCTATGCCGTATGTCAGCACAAGATCCAAAGTATGAAGATGAGAATGTGTGGGACTATTCACATTTTGAACAAAGCCAATAGTGTCTAAGATAGCATTTTAGGCTGCTCTTAAGCTATCGCCTTCAATGTCAGCATGGATGTTAAAATCTCCCACTATGATGACCCTGTCAGTATTTAATACCAAATCAGAAAGGAACTCTGAAAACTCATCTAAAAATTCAGAGTAAGGACCTGGTGGACGATACAAAGTTACAAAAAGAAAAAATTTGGATCAGGGAAATTACGGGTTAAATGTTCAAAAGAGTTGTAAGTATTAACTGCCTTTGGGGTAATCAGTAAGTCAGACTGAAGGATTGTTAAAGATAGACATCTTCAGTCTATGTTGAAAGAGTTTAGGGTTTATCCTTTGGCCTATCTGGTGGTTTAAATGAATGCCTTTTGGTGTTACAGAACAGTTTAGGTTTATGTATTTTTGCTCTGCTTGTGTGTTGATTAGCTCCTGATCCATCTGTAGAGGAAAAACCCAAAAAGAAGTTTATCAGAAAGCCCAAACCAGCCTCAACAACATCTGCTACAACTACCACAACGACTACACGGCCCACGACGACGACAACAACAACAAGACCTACCACCACCACAACAAGACCTACCACCACCACAACCAGAGCCACAACCACCACAACCAGAGCCACAACCACCACAACCAGAGCCACAACCACCACAACCAGAGCCACAACCACAACTAAACCCACCACCACCACTACAAGAAGACCCACCACCACCACCCAGAGACCAACAAGAGCCCAGCCCACAGCGCTTTGGCTGCCAGCTCCTAGAACTACTTCTGATCCTTACTATGACAACCGCAGAGACAACCGCACTGATAAGGACACCACACACAGCCACAAGCTAGTGCCTGTTTCACATAAGCCCACAAAGGACAAATCCACCAAGAATGAAGCAGAGAAGGTAATACTGATGTTTTCCTGGTCGCTTGGCGTCTCTTCCTTTTATAACCGCACGGTTTACTTATGGATTGCAGTCCTTCCAATGTTTTAACCCCTTTAGCTTGCAGAGATGTCAGTCACCAGGCTGCTAGTTCGTCAATTTATTCCAAAGAAGTAAAAAAACAATCCACTGGACTTTGTTTCCAACTTTGAAGACGTTTCGCTTCCCATACAGGAAGCTTTATCAATTCAAAATGTCAGATTTTGACTTGTTGGCCTGGCTGAACAAATGAGTTGGACTCCTGGCCTAATCAGCCAGGCCAATAATTCCCTTTAACGACCCCCCTTTCAGAGACATAGACAGGTATGGGGCCTTGCAGGCTTACAATGAAACCAAAAGACCCCCATTCCAAAGTGGTGGACCCGTTCGTCCGGTTCAGTTTGCATGTTTTCTAAACAAAACAAGGCTTTGTTGGGCTGCTGGATAAAACCTGGAACTAAACGCTTTTCCTGACATTTTGAATTGAAAAATCTTCCTGGATGGAAGAGAAACGTCTTCAGACAAAGTCCAGTGGATTGTTTTTAATTTTTTTGGAATGACTATGACCTTGATGACTGAGAATCTTCACCAGCAGATTGTTTAATTTAGACTCAGATGGAACTGGTAGAAAACAAAAACACAACATTCTTGTTCATGCATCATGTAAACCAGGAACTACAAAGTATGTGAGTCTCTATTCACATTCTGCATAACTTCATGACCACCTGTATAATAGTTGGTCCAGCTTTTGCAGCAACCATAACCTTTTAAGCAGAGAACTCCAGTGAACCATTGACGATATGCTCCTTTAAGTTCAGCAAAGCAGGCTCTCCATGGATCTCAATTGTTTGTCAAGAACATTCCACAAATTCTGGACTGAAATCTGCCAATTGATAAACATGACAATGCTTGTTATGGTTCTAGGCAACCTCTTAAGTACCCAAAGTTATTGCTATATATTACTGGATTTGACGTCCACTTTTAGCCACTATAGCTAGTGCCATTCTCACTAGACACCATTGATATACAACGAGTCATGTCAACATATCGGCCTGCTCTAATACAGAATCAGCTGCATTTGTCACAGAAGCAGTTGTGGCTAATTTCAGCTTATATCATTTTTGAATAAATTATGTCTCAAATTAAAGTTGGGTAAATTGCCGATATGATATCATAGATAGAAATATGTACTCAAAATAAATATGAATCCATAAGCAGTGAGGGAACTGTGAATTAAAGTGGTCACAGGCATAAAAATGTGGCTGCAAGTTTGTTTTTAACTGCTGTGATTTTTATATCAGCATTTGTTGGTTTCTGGCCTTGGTGCTGAACTATTGACTAACAAAGAGGGGTCATGGCTACCAGTAGTAGCCATTCAAACTTTCCCCACTTTCTGTCATGGGCCCTTGGCTGGTCTTTGACTGGTCCTTGGATGGTCCTTGACTGATCCTTGGCTGGTCCTTTGCTGACCCTTGGCTGGTCTTTGACTGGTCCTTGGCTGGTCCTTGAATGGTCCTAGGCTGGTCCTTGGATGTCCTTGGCTGGTCCCTATAATTCCTTTTTAAACATCAAATCTTTGTACTAAAATATTCTTTCTGTCATGATTTGTGGACATTAAGATCTAAAGAGAAGCATCATCTCCTGGTCAGACCCTGTAATTCAGTGAAAGGGTGGAGTCAGAGTAAAAAGGTATGCAAGAGGGGGTCACTACAGTGGCTGGGAGTTGGATGGGATTTTGCTTGGAGTTTTAGGGAAGTGGACTGCCATTCAACTTGTGTTTGACTGGGAACGGCCATTTTTAAAGGCTGCTACTGCACCTTTATCAACGGGCCAGCCATTGTCAGCAGCGGAACATTTCCTGGTGTTGTCGGTGACCTGGGGTGGACAGTTATAGCAAAAGGGGCAGGACCCAGAGCTTGGATCTGAAAATAAAAACCAATCTGTGTATTTTTTATGGCTCACTCTGCAGGGTATCTAGTGCTTCCTGACTGAAGACAGACTCCGCCCCCTGCTTAGGGGGAGGAGGTGGTCAGAGAGGCAAAGAGACAGGAAGGGGAGAGGATAAGAGAAGAAAAGCTCCAGGCTGCTGTACTTTAATATATTTTCATTTTGGAGCAAGAGAGACAAAAAACACTAGAGGTGTTCTGAAAAAGGCTAACTTAGCCTATCCAGCATGACTAGCTTGAAACACTTATTGCTAAAATGTGAGATATTCTGATTCATTGAGGCCTTCATAAAATCCACTGTTACTCCTATTCAGTGAATTACGGCTCAACGTGGTTCTTTTGGTTTTAACAGCCGTTTATTGAGGACACATCTTACAAAGTCCCCAAAAAATTCCATCACAAATAAGAAGGGAAACAAAAACCAAAACCAGCAAAACAAATATAAAGGTTTACACAAATAAAGTCATAATAAAGATTATTTAAACGTTATTTATAACGTTTCTGGCCAAACTTCTTGGAAAACAGTCCCAGTGATGCAAGTAATTGTTTCAATCAGTCTTTTTCATGGGCAGCAACGTGACATGCAGAACAAAAGATAAACTCCTCCTTACATTTTAATGTGTTTAACATGAACAACATGACTTTACTGAAAGTTATCTATATATTTATGATGGAACATTTCATTTTAATACTAGTATGTATGAGCTGTTGTTTTAAACTAAACTTTAAAAATAATTAAATGAGTTGACTCAGATGGCAGCTACCAATGAATTCTCGTATTTTATCCCTTTATTCAGCCTTTCTTTAACCATCCAAAATCATTTGTTTTACTGTTTTAAATGCTGCATGTTGCTTTTGTTTTTGTATTTTTGCATTTCAGGTCAATCAAATTTCAGTTACATACAAGTCAAACTTTTAAAGCAGATTCTAAAGGTTTTCTGCTCTTTAAATTCTGACACTGCTTGTGTTTCTGCAGCAGCCCTGACTCAATGCTTTGCCATGGCTCCTGTGTGTCATGTGTAACCAATCTAGTATTATATATCAATGGTCAAAGACAAACTCTGCATTCAAACCACTGAGACTAACAGTAATAAAACATCCCAGTTTCGAATGTTGCCCAAGCGATCAGCTCGAGTTGCTTAGAGAACATTCACATTTTCTACCACTGAAAAATATTCAAGATCTAAGCAGACTTTTTCAGCTTCAAACTGGCTAAATTGTCATTAATCATCGTGGTAAATCTCTGACTGAATAACGGCATATTTATGTATGCAGGTTTCACCTAAAGACTACGAGGACAGCTATGAACCCAGCCCGCCCATTTCAAGCAACCCAGGAGAGGCTGAGCCTGCCCCAGACGTCACACCAACCAAAAAAGTCAAACTCAAGCATGACAAGAAGAAAAAGGGAGACAAAAAGAAACTGGAAAAGAAAAGAGGAAAAGCTGGGAAAGAACAGAGGATCAGGAAAGAGAAGAAACCAAAGTACCCAGAAAAAAAGGACTACCCAAAACCCACAAAGAAGCCAACACCCCCTCCCAAGGGCTCCCTGGCCTCTTTTCTGGACTACTTTGAGAACCGGAGGCGGCTGCTGGTGAGAACATGACACAACATTTACACTATCAGCAAACTACTCTACGTTTCCGTTAAATCACATCTGTGCTGCTGCCCTTTGTGTCAAAAGATTAACTTCACTTCTTAAATTAATTTAATACCCAGTTGGCTCCTAATTTACTCTTTAGTCTTAAGGCTGCTAATATATTTAAAAACAGCAGTTTGAATCGTCTTACATTAAATGCATGTTTTAATTGGCTGTTATCATCGACACTAAAGTCGGACATAAAGTGTGTTTGAAAGGACCGTCCTGTTAGAACACCCGGTTTATCTGTTTAGCTATTGATTGGATCGTTTGAGGGGAAACATTCCAGTGTTTTATTGTCATTCCACTCTCACAAGTACAGAGCAACGAAATTCACTCTCTGCATTTAACCCATACCCTTCGAGAGCAGTGGGCTGCCATTGTGTGGCGCCCGGGAAGCAGCGTGGGGTTAAGGGTCTTGCTCAAGGTCCTAAAATGGTAGTCTGTGTGAGTGGGGCTTGAATTCAGAATCTCAGGATTCCAAGCGTAATACCGTAACCACTGGGCCGCCACTCCCCAAAGCAGGCATTAGCGTGAAGGGTCTTGCCTAAAGCCGGGCATCAACTGTACGATTTTTTTCAACCTTGCACGCAGCTATAGCTCAAACTGAAAATCAAACATGTTTGATTTTCTCCCGACCTCATGATTCCTGATGGGGAGGTGGTCGCTAGAGGCTGATAACCCCTTGTTACCCCCCTTCACTACACCACTCACCATCAGGATGACCTTCAGCCTGTTTAAAAAAATCTCACAGGACTGGAAAATCGTCCCGAAAAGGGCAAAAAATTGTACAGCGAACGCCGGGCTAAAGGACCCACACTGGCAGCTCATTTCCCCCAGCTGGGATACGATGCGTGATTTACCACTTGAGCTAGCCAGCCGCAAAACGGTGAGTCACTAAGTAAACTGGGAACTCCTG